TTTCCCTAAAGGACGTAAATACTCTCTAAAACTGAACTTTCATTCAGTGATCTTGTTTAGCTTGTACTGGTTTGCAGAGACCTGCTTGAAGATGTGAGATAGATATCTCTCTAAAAGGACCCATATCATGGATACCTGTGTTTTTCTTCCTTTTTGTTTTAGATAAAAGAATATAAACATAGAATATAAACACTGTTAAAAGTTTCATACCGTACACATTTCCATATATCGCCTATTTAGCCTACAGCAGTTTAACATTGTCTATTCACACTTAAGTTATTTGGACTGCTTTTTGAACAATATAAAGCAGCCAATCAAAACAGGTCACATACAGAAAGAGTAGTTAAAGGGCAATTTTCAAAACATCGGCATAAATACATGGTTAGGATGCAAATAAGAGTGCTTTGATGTGAAATCTTCTGTTTGAGAGAAACTTGCGAGTCAGAATTGTTCACAGTGATGGTGATAGGAACAAAACGTCTGAAGAGTTTAATGCCTTTAAAAGCTCCCTCACCAAAAGTTATTAGATTAAATGGTTACAAATATTCTCTCTGATGCTTTAGACATTGTCTGTGAAGATTTTACGATCTGGTTTTGGCCTGAACTGTATTTTTTTTTTTTAACAGTCATACAGGGTGTTATAAGGCAAAATAGTATCCAAAATAATATGTCTTTTACCAGACATACCACTATTTTTCCTTTTCCCTTTACCAACATTACATATAAAAACTCAGACATGCATAGGTTTACTGGTCATTTCGGATTGTTAATAAAATGGCCATGTTTGTGTTATAGACATTGTGACCCCTGGTTCTTATCACTACCACTGAAAATAAGTCTGAGTCAGTAAGTTTCTTTACAATAAACCATCTCACATCAAATCACTCTGAATGACGTTTACACCTCAGCTATTGAATTGGTGGAATTCTCCTTTAAAGGCATAGTAATAACAACAGCCCGTTTAAAGGATAAAGAGAGGTTGGAAAACGGTCATGTTTAAATGAATTATGACTTTTTAGTACAGGAAACTACACACGAGTGGAAATAAAATCCCAGAAAAATGTAGGATATGGGCCCTTTAACGCTCCCACTTGACATGAGCTCTATTTCACTTTCTATATCTCTCTCTCATTCCCTCTCTCTCTCTCTAAAGGTATGTTGGCCCTTATCTTTTCAACAGCCATCTGTCTGCCATGTGCATTCTTTCTGCCACATTTACTGCCTGTCTGCTGCTGGTTTGTCAGAGAGAGAGAGAAAGAGAGAGGGAGAGGTTCATACTCACAGTTTAAGTACGCTGATGTCGCTGTAGTTCGCTGTAGTCAGAGTTGTTGAGGCCTCGTCCCCGGAGCCATTATAACTCTGACATCCCCCCATAGCCACAGAAGCTCATCCATGAGAGGATCGCTCTCTCTCTCTCAAAGATTCAGTCATTCAAGCTCAAGCTCTCTCGCCCAAACTACAAAAGCAGCCTCTCACATTTTCACCCACACACATGCTTTCATGCTTTGAGAGATCTACACACACGCACAGAAGCCAGTCCCTCACTCACACACTCCGTTTCAGTCTACATCAAGTCCAGCTGCAGTGTCAACTCTGAACAAAATGCAGAGTAAAAGCTCCCTGTGCCTCACATACCCTAGTCTAGTGCGCACTGACGCTGTTTCTGGCTGCTTTTCCTCTCCACCTCAGGCTGTGTCCTCTCACTCGCTCTCCAACAAAGCAGACAGACAGGTTCCACCAGCGCTGAGAAAATATTTCACACATACACACTCACAGTGAAGCCCACCCCCAACCCAACACATGCCTCTTCCTATTTGGACGCCCCTCCCTGCTGGAGTGCGGTTTCTCGTCCTCTAGGAGCACTGTTGTCTTCCATGCCCATCCCCTTCTCTTTACACAGTGTACAGTAGAAATTACAGGGTGGGCTTCTGAACTTTTTTGTTGTTGTTTATTGTTTTACTACATTTTACTATTTTAAATATTTTCACATTGCTGTAGTTGGAAAAGGGCTCAGAATGTTTCACTTGAATTTAGATACAAATCTCAGCAACAATTTCTATGAAGTAAATACTTAACATTATCTTCCACGCACTATCTTAGTTTTGGTTTGTGAATCTGCTTGTAATGATGAAATGCCACTCATACTATTGTAATGGACAGTCATGAATTCTGACTTACAAGTGTGACTGGATGCTGTCTCTCACACTGCTGAGAAATATGGTGAAAAAACTGTTGTATATTTGAATATAAATGAAAACGTAATAATAAATACAACTTTTCTGTTGTGAGAGTCAATCAAAATAGCTATGCTCCTACACTCCTACTGATGAATATCATAGCACTAAAAGATTGCCTTTATAACAACTGAAAAAGGGTGTTATGAGTGTTTCTAAAGAAATGTTAAAACCTACTTCAAGAAAATGGTAAATTTTATATGATCATTCATAGAAATTAGGTGTGGGTGATACAGCAAAAATGTAATATCACGTTACATATATATGTTACATTTTCACAATACATGGCATGCATGGTGATACTTTTTCTTAAGTTTTACAGAAGTTGATCAATTGGAACACACAAAAATTATGGCAGTGCCACATTTAAAAATACTGCCAGAAACTATGAACATAATTATTTTTATTCCATATTTCACACATAGCACAGCATTGAATCCAATTCAACAAGAGTACCTGTGCTCTGTTTCTACACTGAAAAAAAATGCTGACTTTACCTGATTCAAATGTTTACATCAGCTCCACATGAATAAAATATTGTCAACTCAATTCTTGACAAAAATAAATCACATAAAAAGAAAAAAAAAACATGTGGAACACATTTAAATTTATGTACACATTTAAATCAAGTCAGCCTTTTTTTCAGTGCAATGAGCCATGAAGTTGGTCAGTGTTCTTTAAGTACTGACAACATATATAATATGATCAGAAAAGCATAGTGTGACAACATGATGGGCCTAATGGGAGACAGTACTGTCTGTATGCAGTCTAAAGCTATTTAAAACTAAGTAGCAACATTTCCATTATATATCTATAGAAAATCTTTATTCCTTCACAAAAAAAATGTTAAAATGAGCTCCATCCTGTCTGAGTTTTGTCCAAACTGATTATATAAACATGAGGCTATATTTTATGAAATTCATGTAATGATTAAAGTCATCCTGAAATCAAAACAGACCCTTTTTAACTAATTAGTTCATGTGCCTGATCATATTAATATAATTCAACATATCAGTTAAAAGACACAATTCTTGTTTTCCTGTCATCTTCAATCAAAATATAATGACTTTAGCCTGGCTCTTTTGATTTTCGTCTACATCACCGTGCACCAGCAAGCGAGGAAAAACAAAATTAACCAGTAATATCATGTTTCACCTCCCCTTCCCACCATCCCCACCTATTATTGAGCGAAATGCTCAGTTGGCTCAGAGACCCTCCCTGATATAATGTTTCACTCAGAAATACATCATGGTATGGGGGGAAAATGCGTTCTGATTACAGATTCTAACAAGCACATGTGGCATTTTTGTCAGCAGAAACTAGACAATAAACAGTCAAAAATGTGGGAACCTCAGGATTGAAGCACAGTTATAACAAAGAGCATTATATAAGTACCAAAATATCATATTATTGATAGTAAATGGTGTGCAGATCGCAGACTTTATACAAGTGTGGAGAAATAAAACCTTTTGATAATTGTGGTTGATGTCTGTGAGTTAAAAGCAGATGTTCTTATTCTTATTTTTGTTGTTCTTGTTCACTGAAAGAAAATAAGAGCTGACATTTAGACACATCTAAAATGTTTATTGGTTTGATATTTGAATTTGAAGCCTAGAGTCAACAAAAAAATAACAGGTACAGTATTGCATTTATACAAAAAAGAAACCACCAGCATCAGTTTACAAATACAAAAGGCATTTGACTGTATGATGACCTGTAGTCCAGACTGACACAAACACACAGATGCTGAAGGCAGTAGATACCATACAATACTGGACCAGATAATGACATATGCTTTAGTATCCTGTATACATGTTTACATAAACATTAGTCCAACTTTAAATTAGGTGTTTGTATGAATATGCATTTCAGACAGTCACTCACAGACCTGGTAAGTATACTCCGGGATAACTAAAGTGTGATGAAATCTAATACCATGACAGTTACAAAACAGGTGAGCACACTAGCATTGATCACACCTAAAATAAAGCTGGACCTGAATAGATATAAGAATCAAAATGATTAGTTTCACAGCTGCACTTTCAAAGTGGAACAGCTGAAGCTACAAGCAACATTATTACTGTGTAATAACAATTTACATTATTAAATTGTGTTCAGTTGAAGTACCATTAATATTGTATCGTTTCCATTTATAAAGATTGACTAACATGTTTGATAGTTAAATTAGTTCAATTAGGTGGTGTGTGTATATATTTGACTGCAGTAAGAATGATCTTTTCTGACTATTAAATTGTTATAGTCATTCAAAGTTTGTTTGATCATTCAGTATTAATGATTTTGGGGCAAATAAAAAACAAATAAAAAACAGGAATGTGAAGGCTTTTGCTACCATTTGTGTGGTTCTGCACGTTACTGAGCAATGACAAGACACATGAAAAAGCACTTTTTACATGAAGAGGAAGAAAAGTACAGAATGAGCGAGTGGTTAACTAGTATGTGCACTTGGAAGACAGGATAAAGAGAGAATACAGACTATAGCGGCATAGACACTGACCAGAAGGCAGTTGAGTTACTGTAGAAGCATACAGTAAAGGAAAAGAATCTTACTCTAATGCTGTGGAAGGAAAAAACATGTTCAAGGGGGAAAAATGTAACCCTGTTGTCCAGCAAAAAGGAAAAAAAAAGAAACTAAAAAGAAAGGAGATTGATTTGTTTACATTTTTAGATCAAGAAATTAATTTGTTTAAATTTGAGAACAGTTTGAGACTTTGGCAAAATATACTGATAAATTCACTGAGAAAGATACATTCAAACACAAGGCCTGGGTCTGATGAACCACACCTTCTGTTAGACACTCACACACACACACACACACACACACACACACACACACACACACACACACACCTGCATATTAATTACAAAATAAAGTGTCTGCAAACTTTCAACCATGTACATAGTAGCATAACACAGTGAAAAAGCTCTCTCATTGTCACCATCATTATCATCACCACCATCATCATCATCGTACAGCTTTTGGTATCAAAAATCAAGTTTTCAAAAGTGCAAAAAATCAAAATGCACGGATTGAGCTTCTGATAGAGTGAATTTGCATGTACACAATCAAGTATCAAGTAATTTAACAGAAAATGCAGTGTGTTTGACAGTTGTGAAAGCAAAGCTAGAAGAAAAAGTTTCAGAACAGCTAAAGCACTCAAACCTTGTTATTGCCTCTAAATTCTCATACACACCAAAGCTTTGTATTTTGCAAGTAACTCCTCATAAAAAATATATATACTGTATGTTAAGTTACATACACAACAAAATAAAAGCAACAATCACACAGTAATTACTAATACCTGCCATGGAAAAGGCATACCTAAAGCAAGGGTCAGTCAACATGGGTCAGTGGCATATTTCTGTTTGTTCTTTCTCTTCAGTCTTCAGTCTTTTCCAAATATTACTTCTGACTGTACTGTAATCCTTCTTGACATTTACAAACTGGATATGCAGGAAGTGCTCGAAATATATATTTTTACAATTAAACAAAACCGTTTCAATTATTTACCTTTCAACTTACTGGCTGCAGATGAATGAAAACAATACAAGACATAATTAATAAAAAAAATTGACTTACTTACTTACATAACATGGTATTTTTATCTATCTTTTTAAATTTGAAAATGTCTGTCTCAATATATTAGGCTCTACAGAATGTGATTTTTCAATTACAATCCACATTCTTAGCCTAACAACGTGTAAAACAGGAATTCAGAATTGCAACTAGCATGTTTATCATTGATATTAAATCAATCTATTTACTGTTGATAGAATGTGCAACCTTTAAAATACTACTTTGAAAATAGTATTTGAAGTAATTAAATAGAGAAAGTATGCACTGTTTGACCAAAGTCTTTAAGAGCTAAGAGAGATACACAAATCATCATCATACCTGAGCAAACAAGCTGCAACTACATACTCCTCCAGCTATTCTGTGTGTGTATGCGTGTGTGAGTGAGACACAGTATGAAAAGGATTTTTTTGGATGAAGGTGACTGAGAATAGTGTTACGAATAGGAATTCTGTGCAAGTTGAAATCTTTGAGACACTGATTAAGAAAGATTAGACAATTATGAAATTAAACACTGAGCCCATGGACCTGACCAGATATAGATCCAGAAAGGACCTGAAATAAATACACACACACACTACTTCATGGACTTATTTATGGGTAAACAGTGATGCTATCATGTACTGAAAAAAAGAGTATGTAATCTGCAATTCCTAATACTAGCTACAGAATGCAACCTTATTGCATTATAGACACAGCATTCTAAACTGAGTAAACCTCATAGTCTATCCAAAATGTCTTCTACCTCTCTCTCTCTCTCTCTCTCTCTCTCTCTCTCTCTCTCTCTCTCTCTCTCACACAAAGTAGTGGAAGGAGCTGGCCCACAGAATTTTAGTGGAAAATGTACCTATCTGTTGTAAGGAAGAGGCCAGATGTCGCTTATCTAGTTCCTGTGGAGGTTAGTTTAGGTTGTAACGATGTACCAAATAAAACTGAATTTAAGTGGCTAATGGGGACAGACAGCAGAAGTGCAAGAAAATCCTGAAGGAGCTTGTAAGGATTGGACTTGAGCTGAACAGCTGAAGTAAAACCACACCCTTATGCCTTATTTCCACTGGTGTTCTGGATTGGAAGTGCACTGGTTAGCTTGGCTCGGACAAAAAAGGGAGGAGGATAAAAGTAGTGGCTGGCCCTCAAGGACTGCGAATTGAGTATGTCACAGCTGTGGTAAGCTGCCCTTAGCAACATTGCTATACTGTTAGTAACACAGCAATATTGACAGCAAACGGAAGAATCCTAAACCTGCATTTGCCTGGCATGACTGCATTCAGGCTAGCAGCTGCTATGCAATAGGTCAGATTTCAAAGAGGCTTGACTTGAAGCTGGACTAAAAGAAACTTGGGGGCTCTGGGAAAATGTGAAAACAAGGCATTAGATATTTCACAGGTGGATCTGATACACAAGAACACTAAGGTGGCTCTGAAATACTGACAGCTTTTGTCACACTTGGTCATTACTATTTGGGTTTTTGCCTAGAGAGAAATACAGAGAGAGAGAGAGATTGAGAGAGGAGAGAGAGAGAGAGAGAGAGAGAGAGAGAGAGAGATATTTGTATGAGATGAACTGAATATATATATGCATTTATGATGAACTTACACTCATGCATTTATAATCACCTTTAGTCTGCTTTCTGCTCCTTAGGGGGAGGAGTATCTGTGATGGACATCGTTGTGCCTGCTGTCATGCCACTTGATGTTTTGGCATCAGCTTCACTGAAATGTTCAGAAATAAAAACAGTTGATCAGGAACGTCTTCTATATTTTGTTTGGAACAGTGTTCCCCACAATCACACTACAAGGTTACATTCACAATATATATGTTATTGCTTAGTTACATTTTTCTGCTCAGACCTAATCCTTCTGTTCTGACATATTTTCATTATTAACTGACCCATTTATACCACCATGAACAACATTCTGCCCTGAAAGGGGGAGTAGAGTGCAAAATGCTTATTCAGAAAGGCTCCCAATGTGCTACAGATGCGGTTTGTACTACCTTCTTCAGACTAAACATGCACGACAATATACTAGATATGTATCCAATCTAGGACCTCATAAGAAAATGGCACAAATCTGGACCTTGCTCCCAAAAGCGTTGTTGAGCAACCACCATGGTAACCGTGGAGAGAGAGTGTTCAAAATGATAGTCTCTCTATCATCTAACTATGGTAGTTGTTTAACGTCGCTTTTGGGAAACGCACCCGTGATTTGAAGGGTCCGATTTGTGTTCACACAAGTCAGAAAAAGTAAAAAAAAAAAATCAAATAAAGCAATGATATAAAACAATGATAAACAGCAACAACAACAACAACAACAACAACAACAACAACAACAACAACAACTTTGTTGTTCTTCAACTAGTGAATGTAGCCTAAAGCTGGGCATACACTACACAACTTTGAAAATCTTATCAAATTTCTGAAACAGAAAGCAACTATGAATAAGTTCTCATAACTATGAATAATAACTCAAACTCCTAGAGGAAGAGCTCCCCTGATATCATGTGACACAAAAAAAGGCTAAAATAAACTGGATGTGTTTGTGCTTTTATGCATAGCGGAAACGCAAACTGAGGGTGAAAAAATAATTCAGAAAACACTGATTATCACAGTGAGAACCACTACAAACTGGCAACTCACTTGACCTTGCAAAGAGAGTGCCTTGACGTCTGGATCCACACATTATAAACATGATAAAGGCTCTTATTTGTCAGTGTTCAACAAGCAGCTCCTCTGAGTACATCGATGACCATCTCACACTACAGGACTCGTGAGCATTGTAAAGTCGGAAGGCCTCCAATCACTCTGAAGCTTCATTTCTCCTCTCACATCACCAGATCATTTGCGCCATTAGTCACTTCCGAAGGAGCTCCCGACTTCGAAAATTATTTGGAAATTTGTCACAAGGGGCAAATCAGGGTACAAATTGGGTAGTGTAAGCCCAGCATGAATCACACCTATAGTTAACATAAGTAACATGACAACGCACAAAAAAGCCACCACTGTTTAAAGATCTGTCTAATTCAGGCTTGTAGGGCCATGCCAATCAGACTGATCAATAAAAGCTTAAGAAAAAAAAAGCTAACTGTAAATCATCTTCGCTTTTTGCATGTGTGTTTGTGTGTCCACCTGGTGAAGAGTGCCTTCTCATTTTTGGCCTCCATAGTGATTCTGCCAGTCTCTTTGCCACTGCCAGTAGTAATCGTCTCCAGGACAATCTCACTCCTCTCCTCCTCTTCCTCGCTATCGGAACCACTAGAGCTGCTGTCAGACGCCACCAGAGGAGCCTTCCTCGATCCACACACACTCCACACACACGCAGCTGAGCCCTTCACTGAAACATATGTGAATAGAGACTATACATTATAGTATTATTTACACTATTCAGCTTTAAAATATAAAATAATTTCACTGTAGACTAATTCTGACTGCAACACTGAAAGAGCAAAAAGGAGCACTCACCATCTTTGTCTTGGTTTTGTGTTCCTTGATTTTCTGAGTCTACTGGAGAGCTGCATCTGGGCCCAGAGTCAGAGCTACAGAATGAACACACCATGTATTACATATTATTTTTTAAAGAAAATCATACACAGATGTTTTCTCCATAGACATACTCACCAGCAGAAAGGCTGAAAGTCAGTGAATGTGGCCCAGCCCTTCTCCTCACTGTCACTCAGCTGAGCTGTTGAGCTACCCCACACCCCAGAACCTGTGTCCATAGCAACGCTTGCAAAATCAGCCTTAAAGTTAAAGTCATCTTCAAAACTTGCCACCCAGCCTGGACCTACAAGCATTAGCCATAGGAATAAAGTGAGAGAGAACCCACAGAAAAATACATAAATAAAATACGTAATATAAATGTACTGTGATCTTAAACAACACTTCTGCTGAAACTGAGTATGGGGCTCACTCTGTGGGGAGCTTGCTTGTGTGCCCATTTCCTGGCCTTGGTTGTTGTCTGGAATCTGCTTAGGCTCTGGAAATCGCTCCAAGTCAGGTGAGCCCAGACACCTTCGAGCTCCACCCTCACCCTCACTCTTTAGGGTGCTTGATGTTACCCCAAACCTGCCCAAGAATGTTGCATAGTACTCAGCACCAGCATCTGAGACTGTCTTTGCACATGTGCATGTGTGTGTTTGTGCGCATACACTCATATAGTTCTGTGTATATGAGCAAGTGAATTAATTATTTACCTTGTTCTGGATTTCACTTGTGTTGCATAGTTGATTTCTTTATCCTCCCAAATATCTTCCTCCTCATCAGCATCGTCAAACTGCCGAATTTTCTCCTTACCACAGGCTTCAAAGGCTCCAGGAGTGGGCTGATACAGGACAAAATAACATGAAATCAAAGTTAATGAAAATGAGAAAAAGTAATTAAAATCACAATTTATTTCCTCCTCTCCTCCTATGATGGTCAGCACAGACATATTTAAACAGATTAAGTGGCGAAAACGTCAGCCATGAGGAACTATTTCACAGTTTTTGCCACTGTAGAAACACAGTTTCATTTTTGTAATCAGTGCTCATGTTAGGTTTTGGTGGCGGGTACAACATCCAAAGACCTCACCATTACAGGTTTGATACCACTTTAAAACACATCATCCCCAGCTGTCAGCTTTTTCTGTTTTCTGCCCGTGTATTTCAGTATTTCTGAATTTTGATGAAGAACATTTGCTTCAGTGCATCAATGCCAGAAAGAGAAGGAGAGAGAGGATAGAGGACAAAAGAAACTATCAGGGAATTTAAGACAGCTAGGAGTTTAAAAAAAAAATAAATAAAAATAGGACTCACGCCCTCATCCACCAGGCTACAGTTGATTCCTGCAATTCGACTGAATGTTGCACTGAAAGAGAAATACAAAAACAGAAACGTAACTACCTAAAATCCAGTCTACACAGAGGACAGTACAGCTATACAGCTGCAGAGAGCAGTTTTACAGATACATGAAGACAAAAGGCTTAATAAGAAATCAGTAAAAATAAGTGCTAAATTTACTTGATACTGTCATCATGCTCTCCAAACTCATCATCATTGAATCCAAATTGGTCAACAAAGTTTGCTGTCATTTGCTGGATCTGGTAATCTGAAAATACCTGAAATGTGACAATGACATACAGACAAAACAAATAAACAAGTAGTTGAAATAAAGAACGTAAAGAGGAGGCCACGGATTTATTTCACACTGTCCAATATTCTAACTTGAGATATACAGTACAACATTGTGTGTGTTCATGTGCACATGGATATTGGTTAATCAGATTTTGTGGAATCTTACCAGGTCCACTGCATTCTTCTTGTTGGTCTCTGCTAGTGTTTCATCCACAAAATTTTGCCAGCGTGTTCTATAGTCCTCAGGTAATTCTAACACAAATACCAGACAAACACATTAAGATTATGAAGAGCAATTTTCTTTGTAAAAACAGAAAAAGGAAGAATTATTATGTAAGACAGTACCGTTTATAAGCTGCGTGATCTGAGCTTGTGCTGGCTCTTTCTCCGCACACTGCACTACAGCATTGGCTATCCTGGTAAGATGTCCCATGTACCCTCTCCTCATGCCCCCCTCAGCCCTGCAACACACACACAGTAGTTTGTACCCTCAAACATTAACACAGAAACACCACCACATGGCATACAAACATTTTTAAACAAAATTAAAGTTACTTACTGTGTTTTGTCATTCTCCTCCCATGCATCAAGAATTCTCTGGACCAGCCTGCACTTCTGAAAGAGCTGTACATACAAGAACAAAACAATAACAAAAAACTTAGGCAAAACCTTGACCGATAAAGGCCCGCCATTAGCCTGTGATTAACTGTTAATTGGCAACCCTAAAATTAATTACACAACCCGTCAAAATATCTATGATAAAAGTAATAGTTCCAGTTCTAAAATCTGATTGGCTGAGTGACATTTGAAGCCATTATAAAATACTTGATATATGGACAAATCAACTGAATTTTGTATTCATGCACCAAGATCCTTGTATGGACCGTGGAATGTAGTAGCCACAATGCTGTAGTAACAAAATGCATGCACACAATGAATGGATGCATAAGCTTATCAATCATGAACATCTCCAATACTGAGGAGACTGTACGGTTCCATCAAACCTCAAAGAGCTTAGTAATGCTCAAATTAATAATGGGCTCATCACACTAAATTATCAGTCTACTCAGGCTTTAGCAGAGTTCAGTAACTCTGAGATTAATAACTGATCTTCACATTTATTTATCAGCCTACTCAGGTTCTAGCAAGAACTACAGTGTTTGTAAAGAAGCTGTCTGTTCAGCTCTTCAGCATATGTTTTTACATACCATGCACTGATTTTAAAATAGTTAATTAAGAAGCATTGATTAGTGGGTAAGTATTCTAAAAGTATTCTCCAAAAAATTTAAAATGTAACTTTATTCTGAGTACTGCCTTTACAAAGTGTATCTTGGACTGAATATAGATACTTAATTAGGGCTGTGATGAAACTGCATTACCATAATCACTGCAACTTTTTTTGTAGAACAATTTTTTGATGGTGAACATTACAGGAGGGCACATGGTGTGTGATATGAAATATAAACAAAATAATCATTGTTTAGTTATCATCATTGACAGTATTCCATCCTATGTTTGAGGGATTCTGGAGAAAACAAACTTTTCAGTTGCTGGTCACTTCAGCTTCGCGCACAAGTGGGGAGGGACAACCTATTAACTCTCGAGTTATCCTCAGATTTACTAACATCTTTTATTTTTCAGTCAATTTGACCACAGCAACTGAATCCTCTAAGAAATATCAATGTTCTGGTGGGAATTATGTTTTCTCCTCCCCCATGTAGTGTGAACTATCAGTGGTTCTCACTCTACTACAGGTATGGTTATGTTTGGTTAGGGCCCTAAACCAGAGGTAAGTTTTTGAAGATTATAAAACTGAATGTTATAGTGTCCTCAATATTATTCAAAACAACCAAAACCAATGTGTGTAAATGCTGATATGTCATGTTTTATACAGCTAAAACACCCTGGGGTCAAAGTGACCCAAAAGAACACCAATGCTTACAAAATATGTACAGGACACTGACAACATATCATCGTGTTAACTTTATGTTTATCCAGTTGTCCCCATTACATTAGGTAAAGAGGAAAAAAAACTGTCAATCATTTATTCAGAGATACTAAACACTAAATGGAGTCAGGCTGACCCCAAAGATAACAGGAGGGTTAAACATACCAGGGATTTCTTTGGTGTGTCTGATTATTATTAATTATATTTAAGCCTAAGTACTTGTGATAACTACAGATAACATTCATGGTGTGTCTGATTATTATTAATTATATTTAAGCCTAAGTACTTGTGATAACTACAGATAACATTCATTTGTACACACACACACACACACACACACACACACACACACACACAAAAATATACAGGCATAAACGACAGAAACATAATGTAAACAGTTGTAAGTTAGACGCTAATTGCAAGTACTTACAGTGAACATGCTTCTTTTGTGCGATAAAGTCCATAGTTGACGCTAGCCAGTTGACGTTATTTGATTAAACAATGGCCAAAATCTAGTTTCTACATCAAATGTTATCTCACCAATTTGGACACTTTTTGGCTTTGGGGCATAATTGGGAGCATTGGCGGTAAACCGTCAAATCGCAGGGATACATTGTTTTTTTTCACTCCGGAAAGAAAAATCCATAAGGTCACACCTCTATACTTAATTTTTGCATTCTGTATACGTATGTTAATTAACTGATAGCACAAATCAGTTGAACAACTGTATACTTGTTGGTTAACAGTTAGTCGGTTAATTGTTTACATTCCTACTAAGAACACAAGTTAAGGAGATGGCAGACTTACATGCTTTACCAGGTCTTGGTGTGACAACATGTCAGACTTGTCTGAGTTTTGTATACCCTCATTGCAAGCGTGCGCTATGTCTTTGTTTTCTGGTTGGTCTGGCTCAGGACTGTCCTGTGCTGTCCCCTCTGGTATTGCTTGATGAAGAATGGCAGATACACAGTGCTCCACTTGAACATGGAGAAAATTGTTCCATGTGAATTTAAAGAACAGATCCTAGATATTGAGAAAGAGAAAGGAATTAAAAGTTGTAAGAGAGATACTTAATGAACAAATGGTGAGTGTATAGGTGTGATTGTTATTATGAGGGCAGCAATGTGAAGAGAAACCACACCAGTATCAGGTTGACCATGTCCAACTGGCAGAGCTCATAGTGGATTCTGGGAGCTGTAGTGTTGAGCAGTGCGGCTACAAGTCTGCAGGCATGCAGCCGAGCATTCCCAAAGGGCTCCTCTAAAATGCCCAAAGTCGTCAGCATACTGCACTTCTATACAAGTGAGGAGAAGAGAGTTTGATCCAAACACACATATACACACCCAAATACACCATCCTAAAAACAGAAGCATGGAGAATAAGCGTATTACCTTAGGCGGGTTCAGCAGGAGGTGGCGGTAATGCTTTAGATAAGGCTGAATGCCCAGTAAGATGCTGTTGTTTACAGTGTAAGACTTTTCCAACCCCTGAGATGCTGGGTCTATCAGCTCCACTCTGTTAAATAACAAACCGTTAAATATGATAAACACTAAATGTGTGGATGTGCTCAGAAATCAGTAGACTGTGCATGTTTGTTACAAACCCAGGTTTCCGCGTCTCTAATAACGTAAGTAAAACATGAGTTCCATTAATGATGCAGACTTCACTCTTCTCTCCCTCAAACATGTTCTTTAAGAGGGTCTCCACACTCTGCTGTCTAACAAACACATACAGACAGGAGAGAACATAATTTTTGACTGTTAGTTTCGAACTGATTATTGCTATTCGAGTATCTCTTTCACACACACTCACAGCTCCAGTGTAGTGAGCAGAGGGTCCAGCTCTGTAGGCTCTTGCAGCAGACTGGCCTGATCACGGCTCATGCGGATGATGTCGCACAGCGTCTGAGACACATTGGACTGCCTCTGTGAACAAACACACGTCAGACTAGGTTATTCTCACAAACATGACAAAAACTGGGACCCAGTAACAAAAAATAAAATGACTAAGACTTAATGTTTTCTTTTTTTTTGAAGTACAAACAATGGCCTGTATTCATGAAGCTTTTTAGATTAGGAATGCTGATCTAGGATCTGATCTTAGATTAGCACTTCTACTCTGAGAAGCTTCACAAATACAGGCACAAATACATTCTCTCTCTCTTTCTCTCTCTCTCTCTCTCTCTCTCTCACACACACACACACACACACACACACACACACACACACACACACACACACCGAGCACTTTATGACTGCATCATGCAAGATATTTCAGTTGCACATTCATGCTGCGAATCACCTGTTGTACCACATCCCAAAAGTGTTCTATTGGATTCAAATTCCAGTAACTGGGAAGGCGACTGAAGAACACTCAACTCACTGTTAGGTTCATGAAACCAATTTCAGATGACTTTTGCTTTGTGACCTGGTGCATTATCATGTTGGAAGTAGCCATTAGAAGATAGTAAAAAGTGTCCATGAAGGGATGCACATGGTCAGCAACAACACTCAAATATGCTGCGGCATTCAAGCAATTATTGAGTGGTATTAATGTGACAAAAGTGTGCCAAGAAAACATACCCCACACCATTACACCACCTCCACCTGCCTGGACTGCTGACACAAAGCAGGCTGGGTCCAGGGATTCATGCTGCTGGCACCAAATTCTGACTCTACCATCTGTGTGCCTCAGCTGAATTCTTTTACACTCACAAGTGCATGAGTGGTAATCTAAGTTACAATAGCCTTTCAAAACAGTCTGGCCATTCTCCGTTGACCCGTATTTGCATGATTTTATGCACTACTGCCAAATGACTGAACTGAATGAGCAGGTGTACAGTAATGTTCCTAATAAAGTGCTCAGTAAGGGTGTGTGTGTGTGTGTGTGTGTGTGTGTGTGTGTGTGTGTGTGTGTGTGTGTGTATAGTATATATATATATATATATATATATATATATACACACACACACACACACCCCGATCAGGCATAACATTATGACCTTATGATCTTGTTTCTATGCTCATTGTCCATTTCATCAGCTCCACTTACTATATAGATGCACTTTGTAGTTCTACAATTACAGACTGTAGTCCATCTGTTTCTCTGCACACTTTGTTAGCCCCCTTTTACCATGTTCTTCAGTGGTCAGGACCCCCATGGACCCTCACAGAGCAGGTAGTATTTGGGTGGAGGATCATTCTCAGCACCGCAGTAACACTGTTGTGGTGGTGGTGTGTTAGTATGTGTTGCACTGGTACGAGTGGATCAGACACAGCAGTGCTGCTGGAGTTTTTAAACACTGTGCCCACTCACTGTCCACTCTATTAGACACTCCTACCTTGTCAGTCCACCTTGTAGATGTAAAGTCAGAGACGATAGCTCATCTGCTGCTGCACAGTTTGTGTTGGTCATCCTCTAGTCCTTCATCAGTGGTCACAGGACGCTGCCCACATATATATCCGCTGTTGGCTGGATATTTTAGGTTGGTGGACTATTCTCAGTCCAGCAGTGACAGTGAGTGTTTAAAAACTCCAGCAGCACTGCTGTGTCTGATCCACTCAGACCAGCGCAACACACACTAACACACTGTCTCCATATCAGTTCTGCTCTGTGAAGGTCCATGGGGATACTGACAACTGAAGAACAGGGTACAAGGGGGCTAACAAAGTATGCAGAGAAACAGATGGACTACAGTTTGTCATTGCAGAACTACAAAGTGCACCTATATAGTAAGTGGAGCTGATAAAATGGACAATGAGCATAGAAACAAGGAGGTGGTCATAATGTTATGCCTGATCGGCGTAATGTGTGTGTGCATGTGTGTGTGAGTGTAAATAGTTGTATTATTTATTTTTTAATATTTTTTTTATCTACTTTACTTTTTGTAGAAAAAATGTACCATATAGAGCTCCAACTGATCAACTAAACTATGAATTATGACACTCAAATATTTATGGACACAGTTTGAGGCTGTTTCATGAGAATGGTCTGAATGAAACGAGCTTTAGCGCCCTCTAGCGGATGTGTTCAGCTAGAAGTGTCAAAAACAACACATTTAAAGAAGATCTGCTTGTTATACTGACCTCATTGTCACTGTTGGGGTTAATCAACTCTGTCAGTCTCTGAATAAGCTTCTCCTCATCCAACCACTGAAAACAATACACAGAGGAATCTTCTGAAATTTTGATAAAAAACATGTAATGTATGCATAAATCTTGTAACATGTTGCTTGAATGCAAATACAGCAGTACCCACTCACAGTTAGGACGTCCTGTCTGAGGGGAGCAGGCTCCACACAGCTGATGAGCCGCAGCAGCAGATCCATCATAGCTGAAGTGTCCATGTGCTTCAACACCAACGTAATAAATCCATCCTTTTTCCTCAGGAAACTGATTGTCTATTAGCAGTCATAATGTGGGCAGTGCACATAAAAAGTAATAATCTCAGTGAATGACATGAAAAAAAACTAGTAGTAATAAAAACTCACTAGTAGTAATATTATATTATATATATATATATATATATATATATATAAAAATCACTGCCTAAAGAAAAACATGCATTTCAAAAATTGTAACTTTATTGTACAAGGCAATTAAACTTTTGTAGCTTTTATTCTGATCTTTTTGCAGCTTTTAAATGTTTTAGTCCAAATGATTTAGGAGCATTTCTATTGCTCCATTCACCACTAAATTTTCACCCAATGTAAAGGACAGCCTTCATGTCAAAACAATGCATCATCATTTTTATCTGTTTTTATTTTTCTATTTTTTTTAGCTGTCTTCTCACAGTGGAAGGATTGACAGAAACAACTGTGGATTTTTTCAGATCTGAAAAAAGAGTGGAGCTTGATTTTCTCCTGTCTCTCAAAGATGGCAGCTTTAAATACTGTTTGTCATATGGGGACAGTTTTAATGGTTTAGCAGGTTTAGACCAGCTGTTTTTCCTTGTTTTTCTTTGACTTTGCCTTTCATTATGCAGGTAGATTGTCTTACATCTAACCTTCTCAAAAATATCTCCTGAAACATAAATAGTTTCTACTTAAGAGCTGTTTTGACAACTAAAAAAATGAAGTGTGGTCTCAGGGGGACATTTGCACAATACTGCATATAAGAGTAAAATCCATAGTGTATGTGTGTTTGTGTACCTGCTCTGTCTTGCGGCTGATCAGACTGCCAAAAGTCTTGCTGAAGAAGGAGGCAAGCAGGGGGTTAAGAGGTGGGTCCTGCTCTAGAAAGTTGTAAAGTGCATTCAGGAGAGAATCGTCTCCGCCTACTTTGTCATTAATGATGGACACATCACATGTCAACAACTCACACGCTGTGTTGGCATATCTGAGAGACAGAAAGAACAAGAAAGAGACAGAGAGAAAAAAGGACAAAAACAGAGAGAAATGCATTGAAGATGCATCTGTGTTAGTGCAAAAAAGTATATTCCGCAGTTCAATGAGTCAGTGATGCCTTTACACTTCAGTTTCAGAAATATTGAGGACAATCGTCAATGCTGCATGGAATGCCAGTGACTAGCTGTCCATAAAGATAAATCAGCAATTCTCAAACTTTCTTAGCCTAAGCTAAGCCCCGCTTTGAGCAAAGTAAGTGCCACTGCAGCCCACCCACTCCCATGTCACCCCTGCCCCGGGTCATTACGTTCACTTAACATACAAGGACTACATCTTACCAGAACATTGTCCATTTTACTAGCTTAACTTTGGCTCAGAATTCAGAAATAAACATGTACACACACACACACACACACACACACACACACACACACACAGGTGTACACTTAAGAAAAATCATAAACTCTGGACTTTGTGACAAGTCATCTGAGAATTAGTACGTTCTGCTCAGACAGAACCCTTCTTTTCTTCCTCCTCTCTCTCTAATTTCTCCCTGCTTACTTGTAGCGCAGTTTCTCCTCCCGGTCAGTAGGGGGCTCATGTGTGATGAGGCTGATGAGCTCCAGCAGGCTGCTATCCTGTGTGAGGAAGAGTAAGAGGCGCTGGTTCTGAGCTTTACACTCCTGCAGCACATCATCCTCATCCAGCAGCTCCTTCAGAGTAACATCCTCCTTCTCCAACAGCTTCTCCACCTGAGATGCCGTATGCAGGTCAAACTTCCAGAACATGACTGCGGCCTGCACCCTGGGGACTGGAGAGAGAGGAGCAGGAGAAGGAAGCAGTTTACAGATTTATGTCTAGGACATTTAATAACAGTTCTTCCAATCACTTTAGCGTGATATCAGGTGCTGGAGAACAAACTGTTACAAGTCATTCCGCTGGCAGTCCTGTGTGCTTTATGTAACATGACTGAATACAAAGAACATAAATACATTTACCTTCAAGTCAGAGAGTGTTGTTCCTTAGATAAGGTGCAAAGTCCAGCACACCCACATTGGCCTCCTAGATGGAGGATCTTGAAGGAGTTTTCAAGTCACATCACAATATTCACATCTGTCTAAAAAAGAGAGATTATAACTCATCAGTTCTGAAAGGTCTTTATCAAGGCCAGAGGTCTTAAGCCTGTTGGATACTGTTTATTTTTATTTATTTTTTTTGGAAAGGGTGGGGGAGGTGGAGTTTTTCCAGTATTTTCAGTACACTGACCATAAAACACAACTTGATAGCAAAAGAATCTGCAATACTTACAGGGGACTTTCACTGATTTCTCAAATTTTCTACTTCACTAAATCCAATTAAATCAGCCTATTTATGTTCTCTTTTTAATGAAACTTGCAGTTTTTAATGAAATGTAGTGTTCTTTAATTTTACCATTATCAGTAACTACACATAAAAACATACAAGACAAGTGTAGGTTCACATCAATCCACTCTGAATGACTTAGTTTACATACAAGTGACTGAACTGAGAAAAGATGAAATTCCCTTTTAAAAAGAGATTCTGGTGAGAAAAAAGGCCAGGGCCATACGGGCCTTACGCAGGAGGAAGAGTAATAGGTAGTCATGTTTTAGACCTTATTTATTTGGTGCTTGCATAATGAATGTGGAATTAAATCTGAAGGAATCCCTGGTTAGAGCCCTATTTTTAGTAAAATCTAAGGTAGAAACTAGTATGTCACACCTGTTCTGGAAAATCACTTGCATTTGAAATACAGGCTGAACACAAATAAGCGACCTTTTTCCTGTGCTAATGGAATTTATCAGCATCTGCAGAGGATATGAGGTCATCCGTTACCATATTTACTGACAGATGATTTTTTTAAGTCACTGAAGATTTACATGCATCAAATAAAATTGGTTAAATTGGTTAAAACCTCTGGTTCTAGAATCATGATCTCTGTGCATTTTGGAGGAATACAGGCCAACAAAATCATTCAAAAGGCCCAGGTCATGGTAAAATGAACGTTCCTTGCTATTTTCAAATAAAGGTGTTTGATGTAGTATGTAAAGACATATGTTAAAATGTCAAAGTGTACCAATTACTCCCCAGTGCATACAGTCCATATATGGAACCTAAGCTGTAAAAACAGCCAGACTTCAGTTCATTAAAAGTTATTAAAGGGCCAATGTCATGCAAAAATAAATTTCAGCTTGTTTATCTGAAGCAACACAGTTTGATGTAGAATGCAAACATTCACTCCCTGTCCATATATGAAACTATCCTGCAAAAACTGATCATTCTGAATTCACTGTTTCTGTGAGGTCACAAAAAAACAATGCATTTACATGCATCCACCTATTCAGCCTACAGCAGTTTAGTCCTGCCCATTCATGCTGAGATAAGGACTCTTTTGGCCCAGACTGCTTTTTGAATGAGGCACAGTTCAGGGCAGCCAGTTAGAACATGGTTAATTTACATATATCAGTCTTAAGGGCACAGTAACAAAAAGAGGTTGTTTAATTCCAAGGGATAAAGAAAAGTCAAAAAACTGTAATTTAAAGATGTATTATGACCTACACAAGTAGGGATGCATCGATACAATTATTTTCAGACTGAGTACGAGTACATGTTTTTTAGTACTTGCCGATACCAATACATACTGAGTAGCCTACTTAATGCTAAGTAGTTGTGTAAGTGTAAATGAGTGTCATGGACCCAAACAACTAAATAACTACAATCTAGCTGATTTTAAATGGAATGCATTAGCTAACTATGTTACATTTATTACCTTCAAGTAGCATTGCAGTGAAGAAGAACGCGTTTTATTCAACGTCAGAAAAGCACTTCTGTGTTGTAGAAATCTTGCTATTGTGTGACTCACACTGTACATGTACACTCGGTCCGACTGACATGCGGTATAGCCTCTACAGATAGCTCTGTCTATGAACAATTTCCAATAAAGCCGTTTCATTTAATCTAACACGCTGCACACCCGAGTACTGAGCAAACACTCTGAGAATCTGAGCTACAGCAGCTTTGCTAACTCATCAGTTGATTAGCACAAGAGCATACACTAAGCTCATTTCACACGGTATCAGGTAGTATCGAATGTTATCGAATCTGTGCATTTTTTATGAGTATCAGCAAATGAACACCGTATCGGACTGATACCGGATACCAGCATCGCTATCAATGCATATACACAAAAACATTACACATAAAATACAAGAAAAAAGTAGAACATCACAGAGTTGCTCAGCCTGGACTGCATTTTAAATGAGGCACAACATGGGGCAGCCAGTCAGAACAGATGGAATTTATATACATCAGCCTTAAAGGGCCCAAATCCTTCAATTTTTTATATATTATATTTTTCCTCATTGCATACGTGTAGTTTGATGTACCAAAAGTTATTCACTTGTTACAGGATCATTTTCCAACCTCTCTTTATCCCTTAGAATTAAACAGGTTGTTTTCATTATTATACCTTGAAGACTGATTCATATAAATAACCTCTGTACTGACTGGCTGCCCTGTATTGTGCCTCATTCAAAAAACAGTCCAGGCTGAAATACTCCTTATAACTTCAGTGTGAATGTGTGGGGCTGGCATTAAAGTCGAAACACAATTCGTATCATGTATCACATCAAAAACGGGCTGTTTTTGCAGTTTAGTTTTCATGTGTGGACTGTATGGTCAAGGGAATAAATGTTATGTTTTCACACTTTTACATAGTATGTAAGCACCGTTAAAGACTTTTATTAAAAAAAAAAGCAAGGGTAATTAACTTTTCCATAATATGGGTCCTTTAAAGGCACAATATCAAAAAGCCTGTTTCATTCTAAGCAATAAAAAGACACTGAACAATGGGTAAAAAGGAATTACAACTGATCTTGTTGCACAAACCCAAATAAAGGTCACATGTAGACCTCAGAATAGGGGCTCTTTAATCATAATGTGCAGACCATTCTCAACATTGCTCTTCTTTCTTCCACTATATATCCACACAATGCCTATCATAAAAACATGCTTTCAAGTGGTGGCATTTTATCTCAAAGGCAAATGACTCAAAACGCCACAGCAAGGCAAAAAAGATGTGAGGGAGTTTGGTTTGTTACCTGCACTCAATGTTACTCAATATCTTGCCCACCACTCTCAGCCAAACATTCACTAGTATTTCCCCCCACAATCCCACTTAGCAAAAGCGAACTGCCACAGCACCTGACTGACCGTGTCTCCGGTCGAGAAGGAGCAGCGGCCTCTCTCTCCTGTTCAATGTCCGCCGTCAAGTAAACAAGACTAGAGCAGCTCCAAATACTTCAAGTGGAAGGATCAACTAGGAACGGTTAACGTTAACAGTTTAGCTGCGACGCTAACTCCTGCTCTTTAAAATTAATCCCAATGCATCAGTGAATACTCGTTAGCTAAAGCCCTTTTACCACCAGGGGCTAAACTGTGGTTTTCAGCCCGACTGCAAACTACTGGTTGGTGGATAATCTCGGCTAGCTAACCACATGTCCCAAAAATGCCTTGAGATTGAAATTCACAATAGGTAACGTTAGCGTACTTCGCCTTCTTCTGGAGATAAACAAGTAACGTTAACGTTAGCACCTAAACCTCAGCTCGCTCCTTCAACGTCACGCATTAAGGTTACACGAGGGGCCGTAGCTAACTAGTTCATCTGGTCAGTTTGTTTACCTAATAATGAGAACAAACACAGGTCCTTAACTGAGCATATGCGCTACAGCGGACTCACCTCAGCACTCAAAGCAAAGCTACTGCCCACAGTTAGCTCCAGCTACAGGCTCGGTCACAGCCTGCTGCCGTTAAAAATCAGGCTGCGCGGTGACTGACTGCGCCCTGCTGCAGCACAACCAAGTCCCCACCCGGAGTCCTCACCTGAAAACGCCTGCTCCGGCTCCGGAGCCGCTCAGATCTGTAGGTCGTAAGCAGAAAAATATTTTGACATCTTTTGGAGTTAAAATGGCGGATCTCGTAACGGGAGCGCGCAGAGCGCGTAGTGCGAGCACCCGGTGCGCTCCAGTTTGATTTATTGGACATGTATTGATTATTTATTTATTTATTTATTTATTTCGAAGATAAAACGGACCATCCCGCTGAACACTTCGTGTGAATGGAATGAAAAAGAAGCATTTATACAATAAAAATATGTTTTAGGTGTTTCCATTTTGAAGTTTAAGTATGTTATGGATCATTATCCTCTACGTCAAAGATCTTTAATAAAATGACTCCTACATAAATCTTAAATTAAATTAGGACATTTACTATAGTTCTTCAGGATAAGGCACACGTATTGTTCATTATAAGGTGACACTACATGAATATTATACGTGAGTGAAAATATTATGGGCTAAAACCTATTAGTCTTATAGTTTTCATACATGCCAGCAGTGCATTACGATAGAAGTAAAACGAATGTAAGATCACAAATAGCAAGGCATGCCCGAGGTTCAGAAATGAACTGAGCCTCGTAATCTTTTCAGTTCAGGGAAAAAGGGAATTCCACCAAATTTTTAAAATTTCTGCACAATAAAATGGTTAAGCTGCGAATAATGTCATGCAGACTGGTTTGATATGAAATGCTCCACTCTAGATAAACTTACAAAGTTTGAATTTTTCACAGAAGTGGTGAGGAGCCAGACTAGTGCTTAAAGCCTCTGAAAGCTACCTCACAGAATGTTATTATACATTATACAGTTATTATACATGTGAGGTTTAAAAAAACATGTACATTGTTTATGATAGTTTTGAAATAAACGTTTGGCCCGTTATATAAAAAACATAATTTCATAACGATACATCCATGGCAGAGCTACAGGGACCATCACATCCAGGCAAAATAATACACAAAGATTAAACAATGTTTTACCATTATTAACATTCACTGGTCGTTTTGTATAGCAGATAAAATGGTATTTATATTGTAGACGTCATGGCCTCTGGTTCAATCACCTCCATTTGAAAGGAAATCTGAGATGGTAAGTTTCTCTCAAGTGTGCCTTTTCAATTCAAACTACCCTGAAATACTTTGAGTGTAACGATTGATTTATACAGAAATTCTGAAAATTAGGTGGAAATACCGTTTAAAAATAAAATAAAATCAAGACGGAAAACTTCACTGCATCCTGAGCCTCTAACAGCTTTTTACCCACTGCAGCCCCTGCACTGCACAGTTCAGTATTTTCCCAAATTCAACATTAATCTGAACTTCATGAAGGACTTGGTTATTGTAATTACTTATAAAATTAGGTCAGCGTTTCCCATTTTAGGTCAAGACAACAAAGAGAAGAACAGAGACAAAAATTCAGTTCCTCAGCTGATAGATGCTGTGAAGTTACAGTGAAGTAAGAGCACAGTGGTTGAACTTATGTAGTTCTACTCAGTTTCTTTCTTTTTTTGAAAATGTACTATTAGCCTGCTTTTATTCGAGTCCTTATTTCACAGAAGTAACAGAAGAAGAGTCTTTATTTCACAGGAGTAACACTAACTTTACTGAAGGCTTTAGGTTGGTCTACTCGGCTAAGACGCAGCTCAAGGACACGCTTGTGTGCTGAGCTGAGCTGAGCTGCGGCGGAGTGACGCATTGCGTATGACGTCTCCAGCCGGCTCCTCTCTCTCTTTCTCTTTCTCTCCTCCTCATTTAACTGAAACTCGGCCCTCCGCTCCAGCTCTCCTTCCTCTGCTGCTCCGGTGCCATGGCGAACGTCGCGGATACTAAATTATATGACATCCTCGGCGTGTCTCCTTCGGCCACGGAGAATGAGCTCAAGAAGGTACGGTCTGTTTTCAGAGCCGTTTAAAGCGAGTCGGTGCCTGATTTTTTCCGGTGATGTTGTTAGCTAGCGAGCTAACTAAACCTAGCTAACCTGTAACGCTAACTAGCTGCTTGCTTGCTAAGCTTCTAGCCTTAGTCTCATGTGGCCTTTACAATCGGGAAGACATTTTCCTGTGTAGTAAGACTCGTTTTGGCTACTGTTTAGCACCTTCTTTTGTTTAATAAAAGTATTTTTCAAAGATGTCCTCGAAAAAGCCTTCACATGAGACCAGTCCTGACAAAAGATGCTCTTGAGACCGGCTAGCACGGAGAGCATCACAGAGAAAGAGGACACTCAAAGCTGGCTGTAGCTAGCAGCTAGCTGTGGTTGTGAATTGGGACAAATGTCCATCGGTTGGCCTACCAGTGCAGCAGGCCTGCTCGCCAGACAGGCTTAAGGCTGATTAAATCATTTTTTAAAGTTAGGGTGTGACTGTACACTGGTGACTGACATCCATGCTGATATAACGTGTTGTTCACCTTACAGATTTGTGGTGACAAAAACAAGCCATTGTCTTTGAATTTGTGTAAACAAAGCTCGTGTACAACCTAAAAAAATAATTTGCTTGGTTTATTTTAGGGTCTTAGACTGGAGGTAACGTTATCGCTCGTTAGTTAAACAAAATACTATTTTATTATTTGTAGTGCTATATGACTGTGTTGTATGGCTTAATTAAAGGAAAAATAATCTCACTGATTAATACTTGTGCTTAAGTTACTAGTTACTATTATCACAAATCCAAATGAGCTAACAATCTGATGTAATACATGAATTGTTACTTTTTTCTAAATTAGTTTTACATTTTCAGGAAATCTGCTGCCAAGTGTAGTGTAATTCTTAAAAAGAATCTTTTATTATCTAATCACACATGCCTTTTTCCATTATTTTTTTCTTAGACAAAGTAAAAGTGGGGCACAGCAGAATCTCTGTTTGGCTTGTGCCCATTTTCCAATATAGAAAAAGCAAAATACTGTGAAATATTTATTTTTGCCTTTCCCACTGTAAGAGCAGGTTTAAACCAATCTGACCTACTTGCTGCTTTGAGCTTAGGCTAAAAAAATTGACTATCTGTTGCAGTATTTCATGACAGTGAGTCAGTCAGCTGTAGTCTGGTTTATGGACTTGCCTCTAAATGTTATAATTATTTCAATTTAATTACAGGCTTATCGTAAGTTGGCGAAAGAATACCACCCTGATAAGAATCCCAATGCAGGAGACAAGGTAAAAGATTCATCTTCTGACAAGTGGAACTTTTCTAAGTGAATAACAGAAGAATTTTACTTGATTACATTTATTGGAGTTGAATTGATAAAACATGTGTATGTATGTATCAGTTTAAGGAAATCAGTTTTGCATATGAGGTGCTAACTAATCCAGAGAAGAAGGAGTTGTATGATCGCTATGGAGAGCAGGGCTTGCGTGAGGGTGGCGGTGGTGGAGCTGGAATGGAGGACATCTTCTCACATATCTTTGGTGGAGGTCTGTTTGGCTTCATGGGCGGTCAGAGCAGCAGAAGCCGAAATGGGGGCCGGCGGAGGGGAGAAGATATGGTGCATCCATTGAAGTGAGTCACTGGATGCTGGAATAAAAAGTTTGTCTTGGCTTTGCCTTATGTTAAAAATGTATACTTAAAGTTGTTGCTGGATTTAGGTGGTCTCTTTCCCACAAGTGTATTGTGAAAATGTCTTGCTGTACTTCTGCATTACGAAAGGCATTTTTAATAACTACTATCTGATAACCCAGATTTCATAGGTGCTCCTGTTGTAACTGAAAAAAGGAATTGTTTAGATGAACAAGTATAGGCAACATGATGTGACCTCCTGGGCTTCTGTTTTTGGCTTTACAGAACATGTGTAAAATGTATTTAATATGTCTTAAAAAAGGTCTTAAGGGAACAGATTTGGATATTTAATCTCTGGCATGGTGATGTTGTAGTTGACATTGAGCCTGAAGGTGTCAGGAGACAGGAGCGTAAATTAAATGTATTTATTTAATTTATTTCTGACAGGGTGACTTTAGAAGATCTTTACAATGGCAAAACTACCAAACTACAGCTCAGCAAGAATGTCCTTTGTAGTGCCTGCAATGGGTGAGTGATATCTCTGTTTTCTGTCTACTAACACAACACTGGCTGGATTCAAAATGGCTTCCAACTCCCTAAGTCAGTGTTTGAGCCCTTCCTGGTCCTAGAGTAAGCTTGCCATGCTCATTTTAGTGTTTTCAGTGCTCTTCAGCGAATCAACATGATATGACGTGATTCATGAGTTGCAGTAGATGTGTTAGAGTGGGGAAATACTAGACTTAGTAAAGGAGTGGTGCTTCACAACCAGAATCAAGAACCAATATGTGTATTACATTAGGCCTGAGCTAATTGCGTGTACGCCTTATAATAAATTGTCTCAATGCCATATATGGATGGAATGCCTGAATTTTCTTTCTCTTGCAGTCAAGGCGGTAAGACTGGGGCTGTGCAGAAGTGTACCACATGCAGAGGGAGGGGCATGCGGATCATGATTAGACAGCTGGCTCCTGGCATGGTCCAACAAATGCAGACAGTGTGTAGTGACTGCAGTGGAGAGGGTGAGTGTCACGGAAAAGTAGGTTTAGGCAATGTGGCAAAATTATGATATCAAAGTACCCTAAGCAAAGGGCCCCTATCCTACTTTTTTCTATTTTATTTTTTCTCTCTGAAGTCCGTTTTTGACATTTGTATGATATTAGGTACCAAAACATCATGGTTCATTTTTCCATGACAATTTTCCAACCTTTTTAATCCCTAGAATTCAATGGGCTGTTTTTGAGACTACACTTTTAAGGCTGGAATATGTAAATGGTCTCCGTTCTGATTTGCTGCCCT